TTTAGAGAGGTTGGAATAATAAACTTGTTTATCAATGAAGAACCACCATTTTTTCTTTAAATCTTGCAAGACAAAGAAAGGTTTTATCCCTTGAAATGAGATAAAAGTTATATTTAAAATTACTACCTTTGTGCTGTATGCCAGGAACTTTGCCAAATATTTCACATGTACTGGAATATCTGATCTTCACCATTGCTGCATTATATACAGATGAAGCACATGGAATATAGCTCAACTGAATGGCTATTCTTGCCCCAGGCAACAGACACACAAATGCAGGAATCTGAAAACCAGTTTTTCAACTCCTGAGACATGTGCCTTCATTATACTAACATTAACTTCTCTTTACAATTCTCATTATCAAAGACAGACTTTGGTAAAGAAGAGCATATATTTTAGTTTACAAAAAAAACACAGCTTTCATGACACAAGAACTCGGAATATATTCTAACAGCCAAGGGAAGATTTTTTTTATAACTCACCATGGGAACTAAAGTAAATGAACCCTGATATTTTTCTCTACATGTACAAAGATCCTATTTCAGAAAGGGTAGGTTCCATTGAATTTGGGAAAAAAGTACAAATCAGCTAACAACGGTTGTCTCCTTTTAACTGGAAAGCAGTTTCCTTCTAAGACAGATAAGCAGGAAGGCTTAGCAACCCTAACATTCTAAAGTCAGACCTCTTGTGTTTATTAGGCAATGTCATCTAGTGGAAAAAGCAAAGATCTTGGAGACACAGAGATAGAAGTTTAAAACTCATGCTGGCAGTAACCAGTTGTGTGGCCTCATTAATTTCTCCAATCCTTTTTGGGAAAAAAGGGGGAAAAAAAAGATGCATCTTGTGAGGGTCTGAGATAATATATTAAAAGTGTTGTCAGGTTTCGGGGTTCCTGGACTTCGGTGTTCCTTAGTTCTTGACTATGGTGTAAGAGTCAGGTCAAGTCACAGCCAGGTCTTTAGCAGAAGCAAAAGCAAAAGCCAAGTTCATTTAGAAGAAGAATAAAAGGACATTCAGGAAAATGTCCCTGCATTGGCACAGCCATTGGTAAGAACAAATGCAAAGGAATTGTGGGAGTTTTGCCTTAAATAAGGTAGTTAACGCCTCACTCCATCCCTTCTGGGTTACACTTGTGTAGCTTGTCCCAGAGTATTGGTTTACTGGTAAACCAATATTGGTTTATTGCTGTGCCAGGCAGCAGTTTCTAAGTCACTCCCCCTTCTACTGTGAGCCCTCCCCAGGGTGTAGTTTTATCAACCTCACCTGCAGGTTGGGGCAGGAAAGAACAGTAGGCCTGAGTGGCCCTGGTACTAGCCAGTGTTGCCCTCCCCTTGGAGTACTGCTTGTCCAGTTTAGGGGAATTGCCTTATCTCCTGTCTGCCTGTAGGTTGGGGTGGTGGACAGCGGTTTTCCCTTCTGGGTGCTTCCTGGCTCTCCCTGAGCTTTAATAACTCTGGCAAATGTTTCCTGAGGTCCTAGATACAGATAACAATTTAATTTTCTTTAGGCATTATCCTTCTTGCCCTAAACATCTAATAAAAAATGCACAACTTTGTAGATCCTCAAAAACTGATTGATATTGTGATTACCAGGATGAAAGGAGATAGCCAATGTGATTAATAACAACAATTTTGTTGTTTAAGCTAATTGCTTTCAATGAAATTTTATTTACTATAAATTAAGCTAATATTCTGGGAAACACTATAAGGAAAAAGTCTCTGTTCTCAGGAACCTTACAATCCAGTAAGAATATAAATCAAGTAATTATGAAAGTTTAGAAGTAGTTTGGGCTTGCATAAATCAACCATGGCAGATAAAGTAAAACACATTGATTGTGACATGTTGCAGGTCTTGAATGCTACAAGGCAGTGTTTATTCTTAACTTGGTGAGTAGTGTTCTGTGAAGAGAAGATTGACAAAAAACAAAATAAAACAAAAAAAACAACACACACACAAAACAGAACTCTGAGGGCACTTAAGTAAAAAATAATTAAAATGGTGGCCACAGACTTTGGCTAATGATATAGTTCAGTGTTCAAAAAGCTTCTTTCCAAGACTGGTGGAAGTACCAAGTTGGTCATTTTCTTTGATTTTTTGGTGACTCTGGAAGTGACTGTTGAGATTAAAGATTTTTCTGTGGACATAGAATAGGGAGAAGCGGAACTGACACTGTGGAGGATATACTGGCATTCAGTGGCATTGGACCACCCAATTAAGGTATACAAACACCCTTGGGCCCAAGTAGCATTTTGATGAAATATCTAATTAAATAAATGCTTGTGCTTAATAACAGTTTAGTAATGCACTGTGACTCCAATTATTTTTTAAAATGATGTCCTATGTAGAATGTATCAGTATTTTCAGGATTTATCTTAATCAATAATCTTTAACATACAGGCTAGGAAACAAAAATAGCTTTCCTACTGAATGCTAATATGTCAGTAATTTGGAAAGATTTCCTGTGACTAAGTTAAAAACATCTTATTAATGTATTATATAATTTCCGCTAGAGAAGCTATATTTCCTTCAGAGAGTAGAGAGTGATTTTAAAGCCTGGGAATGTGATTCGGTAAAAAAGCAGAGGAAAGAATTATAAAAGTACTTAGTAATGGCCCTCCCTGGTGGCGCAGTGGGTTAAAGCACAGCACTGAGAAGCTTAAGCTACTTCCATATGAATTCGATTCCTGCCTGCCCCGGAGGAGATCCACATGGAGAGACAGACCTCTCCTGCCTCGCCCGCTGCTCCCCTCAGCAGTGTACTTCAT